GAGATCTTTTAAGTAAAATGTTAGTTATCGATCCAGAACAACGTATATCGGTTGAGCAAGCTCTTTTACATAGCTACATACACGTCTGGTATGACAATGAGGAGGTCAACGCTGTTAGTACATGGGTGTAAATATTTAATCTAAACGAGATTGGCATCATTGTATATATTCTTACCATGAAGCTCTCATAACATCCTGACTAAAAAACATTCGACATTTTTGGCCGAGCACGTCAACAAATACCTACTGAAACTGGTTCGGATCGCACCTTTTTTAAGACTACATCCCTTATGAAGCTTTATGTTTTAAAAATGTACTTTTAGTTGGCATGAATAGCCGATTAAGTAAGAATCGTGACTACCAGGTCAGTGCCCACGTGTTCAAATCTTAAGTGCGATGGTCGTAGCTGTAGTGAGTGCTCAATCGGTAAATGCATAACACTTATCGATTGGGCATACGGCTGTTTGGCTGCGGTCATTACCTTTATATCTTTTCCTCACTTTGTTCTGACCGTCATGGAAAATACATATTTTATACTTTTATTAGTAAAAATCGGTGCGACTCTTTTCAAATCGGCATACTAAGTACAAGCGAAAAATCTGAACTCAGCGCAACTGTTATCAATGTATTCATTTTGCAAAACGTAGGAGGAATCCTCAGAGGCCAAGTAATATTATATTTAATATGTACATATACCAGCATAATATGTACATGATCAGCATCCAATTCCGAATGGGCTTAAGTATGTCCGTCTGTTGAACGACCGTGTCGCAAAGCTGAAGTAATCGCCTTCAAATTTACAAAAGTATTGGAAGTCCTCGCGCCCAGGTTCGTATTGAAAATGGTCTAAATCGGTCATTGCTTTTTAGCTTATTACTCATAACTTACAATAGATACGCCATGAAAATGTCCACGGGTATCTTACGAAAATAAAAAAGTCAGCTACTCCCACGCAATATTGTAGAGTAAGGAAATTTAGTCTTTTGTTTTTTTTAGGTTTTTTTTTTTTTAATATAAAAGATGTAAATATAAGAAATTCCTTCACGGCCGAATATGATTTCTTTAGTCGTTCGGCGTTAAATGGTTTTGAAAAAAAACAAATTTTCGATATATTGTGACACTGCATGGTAGAACTTGCAAAGCTTTTGTCAAATTTGCATCCCATACCTTTGCGATCAGGCGAACGTTTACCACAGACATTATCCAGACGCATGTGTGCAGAATTTGATGCAGAACTTGCGTCTGGATCTGCAAACGTTTTAACGTTTGGTACTCTTTCTTCCTTTAATGATTGGTATGCATTAGCACTAATAATGTTGGTAACAATAGTTGTTGAAAAAATTAAACATTTAGGCTGCAGGTTTCTCGGAAATTCTTCACAGAATCAAAAGTTATAGACGGAGATACGATGGAGGGAATGGATGGTAACCAGTTTTCAGTATTGAATTCTTGATCGATCAAGGAATGTCTGCGCCAAACTTACTTTTACGACTGTGGCAAGTCAACAAGTAAACGAGATCAATTGGGCCAATTTTCTACGTGTTGAATTTACGCTTGAATTCCATATAAATGTTCACTTGTCCTAAAGATGTACGAGGCTTGTAAATTGCCCCATTCGATCCATTGAATTTTGAATACCGCAATGCTACCACACTATTTTTGTCGCAATATTCTGAAAATTGTAAGCTTTTCCATATCATTAACTTTCACAAATAGGCGTTATGTGCGCAGTGGCCGAAAAAGTTGTCCGATTCGATAGGATTCATCTTTGGATCAAAGCAAGTCAGTATCCCAAATTTCATCAAAATATATCTTCAAAATATCGAGCTAGAGATTGAACACAAGAATACTGTTATGAATATGCATGGAAATTTAGTCCTTAACATTGTCACACGTAAATGGGGTTATTGTAGTGGCGGGTTCTCAACCAGAGGTTCATGTCTTTTCACTTCTATTCATAGCAATAAGCATAGAAATTAAAAACAAACAAAATATGAAGCGGACAATTCATCAGCTTAAAAAAGTATCATCAATCTCTTGAGGAATTATTTTTCGGGGCTAATACAGCTATCCTCATGACTTGCAACAATATCAACTTTCTTTCAATTAAATTTTTTCCTTTTTATGTTTATTATTTCTTATTTTATTAATGGTTTTAAAACGTAGGGAATACTTATAAACATGGGCAGACAGGCAGACAAAGCTTAGGTCGATTCTCAATGATTCTGAATTTATCGATATAAGAAAAATGTGTTAATGTTGAGTTCTTCCGGCTGTTACATGCATTAGCAAAAATTTATTATGCCCCGCATCATAAGTCGTGTAGGATAAAAAAATAATATAAAGTTGCATTGTCGTCCAAACGAATCTACGTAAATTGCTTTGGAACTGATAGAGAAAATGAGGAGTCAATTGTATAACATTGCGTTTTTGTTACAGATCCTGTCTGATTAGTTTTTTAAAATCTGTATGATGAAAAATAATCAAATTTTCATATTTTCAGCCGGCACCAGAACCGTATGATCATAGTGTTGATGAAAGAAATCACACTGTTGAGCAATGGAAAGAGTTAATATATGAAGAAGTTATGGACTACGAAGAGCATACATGTAACACAAATTCATCGGCAAACAATCCTCGGTAGAAACATTTTTTTCAGTGTAACGAATATGGCATACTAAAGCTTTTATGCAACTTTTAATGTATATAAAAATATAAGAACAATAAAGGCATTCTATATCAAAAATTATCTTTAAAACCGGCCATAAATTAGTCATTATTCGAAAAAATTTCGCATACTAAGAAAGCTGATCATTACAAATAAACCCGCTGTTAACAAATACCTCGAAAAGACTAGAAAAAAAAGGAAAAAATAAATTTCTATACTCTATGTTCTGTTGTGTCTGTTGTGCTTTATGAGCAATGGGCAAAAATTGCAGCAACCTTCAATTAAGGCTGCACCGACCGATGTGGACCACTTTTGTAGTTTAACCCCAATTTGAAGTCGATAGTTTAATTTTTGAGTGGATTCCGAAAATGACACTGGTCAAGGATATATATACTTAACAGATCACTGAAGCCTTCTTCTGGGCTTTACAAAGGTTCGGATCAAAAACTTCGGAAAGCCTTGATATTTAATGGGTAAGCAATGCCAATTTTCTTCATTTTTATATGAGTAATGTATGACCGCCCAAACAACGGTTATTTATGTCAAATTTCAACATCTGACTTGCAACAACATCTCAGCAAATTGTAGCTTTCATTTTCTTTAAGATCGCATTTTAAATGTATTTCTTGTTTTTCTTAAAAGGCATTTGCCTGATAGTGACGGATGAATCTTCGCGCCGGGCTAGCCCCGGTGCATTTACAAAAACAAATTATAATGAATTTAAACCTATCGGGATCACTAACGGCGTGACGTCACATAAAACTCCTTATCAAAGTAACTCATTTATGTTTAGTCGTAGAAATGCCTCATTTCGTTCTTTGTATCGCTGCCAGATTTCTCAACCACACTACAAAGAGATTGACTTTTCTTTTGATATTTTAACAGCAACTTGATATAGTAACTTGAGCGATACTCGTCAAGAACGTTTTAGACTTGTTGACGTCGTTGTTGTTAAGTAAGAGGTTCTTAAATGAAAAGGTTCATATACAAGATTGCAGAATCTGCAGAGGATGTTGGACAGATCTTGGAGTCAGAAACTGTTGGGATACTTAGGAAGCAGGCGACCAAAATTTGACCATTGACCATTGGTAGGTTAGACCGTAGAAAGATACAGTCATGAGCCAATTTATGGCTTTTAAAGCCGGACTGGAAATCGCTGGGAATATTTTGAGATTCTAGATGTCAAAGCTGCTGCTTTTGTTAAATTATATTTATGTTTTATGTAAATTAATGCCAGCCACCTCTGCCTAATGTTTTTACCGGCGCAAGGGGGATACGCATAGGATATTTCATGAAATAAATAGAAATATACGTTAGATATTCCATAAAACATAGATGTTTTATGATCAACGTAAGCTATCTATTTAAAATTGTTTGCTTTTCAAATGTCTCACTGTTTTGGTGGAATGCTCACATTGCAACGATTACAACAAGAAAGTAAAATTTGTCGAGCGCACTCGCATATGATGGTTGATTGCTGTACATGAAAGTTGGCGTCACCAGTTCGCTATGGTAACGTACAACTTGCGTTAGAGATCGTGTGAAAGTCTGTGGGAACTCGCATACAATAGACAATAAACTAATGAAAAAGGTGTCAAATATTGATATGGAACGATATCCAAATAATTTTTGTTGCTTTTTCTAATATGAACAATCATTGAAGGGCTATCCCCTTATGTGTAATATGGCGACGGTCAGAAAGAAGTGAAAAAAAAACAAAGAGAGAAAGAAATAAGAAAGTGGTTGCCGGAGTGGACGGAACACGCTATAACTACGACCAAAGAAAGTGCACCGCAATTGAGACTTGAACCCACGGAGCTCACTCTGTTGTCGCGGTTCTTACCTCTTCGATTATGCTTATGAAACGTTGGTTACCAAGATCTTACCAAATACTATCACGTTATGTTCACTACACAAAAATATTTATTAATATCTAATTTTTTGTGTACGAAAATAGTATTTGTCTTTACAATTTTTTTTTTTCTTTCAAATTTTTTTCTATGTATTTTCAGACAAAATAATATTATGTCTTTATTTTGCTTTTAAATGTAATCTCTCGGTCTTGCTCCTCCTTGCCCTACCGCTGCAAATCTATTTTATGTTGATACATTAATTTAGGAAATTTTTGATTGATTATTTTATTTTCAAATTTCTCCAGAATCCTATTATCACTCACGCTAATTAATTTTAAGCTCTCTTCAATGGCAAAAGGACAATTTTTTAATAATATCATACTTTTTTATTTAGAATGATTTTAACAATATTCGGCCAAAACTTTGTTAAGTCTCTGTAAGCTATTGTTTGACATGTGCTTTTCGCTTTCTTGTTCAGCCTAGAAAGCGTTCAATATTGCATTGTATGCTACTACTAAAGAGAAGTACGCTATGGTAAGTCCATCTTTAATAATTAACGGCAAAATGCTTAGAATGGAAACTTTTAAAAAACAAGTAACTGCAAACGGCATAAATCCATAGAGACATATCGATGGCAAAGCTACTAAAAGAATAGACTTTTCATGTACCTGCAAATAAATTTGTAAAAAAAATTGATTAGACTGGTATGTGTTTATCAAACCGAAAACTTATTTGTTTAAAGTTTTGCGTAGATTTTTTTTGCTATAACAGAATAATTAACTTAATTAATTAAAACAAAGAATTTTTCAATGCTTTTACGAAATTTTTATATGAGCGAAATACCTTCAAAAACGTATTTGAATGCTTTTATAATCTTAACTCCATGTCGTACTGGCAGTAAATTTTTCATTTTAAAGGCGAAAATTTGTTATATTAACTCAACGTGTCTCTTATCAATGACCGATTAAACTAAAATATGGAGCAAACAGCAGGATTTCGTAAGTTGTCCAAACACTATATACTACTATGATGCAGTGACCACTATTTTTGCGTTAATATAATACATTTTTTAATTCTTATTGCTAGTAATGTATGTTAAAAGTGCATTAAAAGTGTATATCACCAAGCGAAAAATTCGTATATATAAACAAATGAATATAACATTAATTAAGAAATAGTTTAATTGCACTTTATCACTTATTTATATTCATTTTAATACAAAATAGAGATATATACAGAGATGTTTTCAGTTTGCATGGTACCGTAGGCGTGTCCTTGGACAGTTTCATTTTTTCGGCCAGGAGAATTTTTACACCAGACATTACACACAGACGGTCAGACCGATGTGCTTAAATCGATTCAGAATTTTATACTGGTCAAGACTATATATATTGTGTGGACTATATATATTGTGACTATATATATTGTGTGCGCTTTGCAGATGTTTTGAGAAAATGACTCGGTGATGAGTATAATACAAGTCCTCGCGTATTTGAAATCTACTATAGCCATATTTATTTATTTATTTATTTTATTCCACTTATACTAGAAACTCAACTAAACAAATAACAGTCGAGTTCAATAGGCTCTTAATGCAAAACTAATATTAATTAACAATAAAATTGAGTATAAGCATAATAAAACAAATAAGAAAAAAAAAAAAGAAAAAAAGCATGTACACTATCAGCATAGGAGCACACTTACAACCGGTACAGGACCAAACTGCAAATGAACCCCTAAGGCATCGCAAACATGCATAAGCCTGGTAACCGATAATAAATTGACAACAATTCACTTTCGAAACGTAACGACTTTTTAAGGATAAAAGCTAGTTTAAATACGACGTAGGTAAATCGCGCGTATTAAGCAATGTTGCTTTAATGGACTTTAAAGAGTCCGATAACGAGAATAAGTGGTAGACGTCATTTAGGTTCTTGCAAACGACTCTGAGCGTATTGAACAGCTCATAATTAAATTTACACTGATTAAGCTTAACCAAGATAAAGTGCCTAGAGAAGCGGTTAGGGACATTAAAGCTTATTTCACCAAGTAATGAAGGCGAGAAAAAGCACCATTTATTACTTTAATTAGAAAGGAAACGCCAAGAACAAATCTACGTTTCTCAAGAGACGGTAGGGACAGCAGAAGCAACCTATTTTCATATGCAGGAAGAGAGGCAATCGGATCCCAACCCAAATTTCTAAGGGCAAACAGCAAGAATTGCTTTTGAACAGATTCAATTGAATCTACCTAGCACCTATATGAAGGAGACCACACAACTGAGGCATACTCGAGTATGGGTCTAACCAAACACATGTACAGCCTTTTCGTAATGTAGGGATCATCAATCTCTTTGGACCACCTTTTTATAAAACCAAGCGCGGACCTAGCTTTGCTAATCGAGAGCTCAATATGCAAGTTAAAACGTAACCTATGGTCAAATAGAACGCCTAAATCTGTAATCGAATCGACGTCCTCCAACTTATGCGAATCTATGAAATACTGAGTAATGAATGACTTTCTTCTTGAGAATGAAAGCTTCTTACATTTACTCAGATTTAGCTTCAGGAGATTCAAAGAGCACCATGCAACAAAATTATCCAAATCACCTTGAAGCTGATGTGATTGCGTTTCAACAGAGAAGGAAGAAAACGGTTTCACATCATCAGCATATATTAAGATCTGGCTGAAATTAACCACCGATGGGAGATCGTTAATGTATAAACTAAATAAAATGGGACCTAAGTGACTTCCTTGAGGTACGCCAGACGTAACGGGGAATTCATCCGAGCTAATGGAGTTAAAAAAGACTCTGAAGGATCTATTGTGCAGATAAGAGCTTATCCATTTCACTAAGTAGGGTAGGAAACCAGAGGCTTGGAGTTTAAAGATAAGTAGTCTATGGTTAACCATATCAAATGCTTTGCTTAAATCAGTGCAAATAACATCTGTGCGAGAGCCACTAGAAAAACCCTTGAAAACATGACAGGTAAACTCTAACAAGTTGGTGACTGTAGATCGCCCTTTCCGAAAGCCGTGCTGGTGCGGAGAAATATACGAATTAATGGCAAAGGCCAAATGCTGAGTCACAATACGCTCGAACAACTTGGGCAAGACACTCAAGTTGGCTATGCCGCTGTAGTTCTCAACAAATTGGCTACTTCCACTCTTGAGGATAGGAATAAGGAAACTACTCTTCCAACATGAAGGGAAAACACCTCAATACAAGGACATGTTAAAAATCTTTGAGATCACACCACTCAACTCGACAGCGCAAAATTTAAGTACACATGATGGAATTCCATCAGGTCCAGGCGAACAACTGTATTTTAGAGAACTCAACCCTTTGAAAACATCATCTTCTGAAATAACCAAGTTAGGTATTGGAACCGAGTTAGTTATAGGATGTTGGTATTTTGCTGATAAATCGAAATTAGCAATCGAAAAGTTTCGTCGGAAATACTCAGCAAATAGATTTGAGATTTCAAAATCATCCGAGGAATCAGAGCCATTAAAAGAAACATGAGAGGGATATGTGGACATTTTTCTTTTAGAGTTAACAAATTTAAAGAAGAATTTAGGATTAGCAAACAGAGAGGATTTAATGAACTGAAGGTATCTGCAGTAATAATGATGGTTGAGGGAGTTAAATCTATGCGTCGCCACCGAGTAAGCGACATAGCCGAGCGCAGAGCCACTTTTCGAATAGCGATAAATTCAACGTCAGGAGAAGTGGGAAATTCAATTAAATTGGACGGGACTGACGCAGATATGGCAATTAATACACCCCCACCAATGCGATTTACTCGATCATTTCTAAACACTTGGAAAGAATTATGAAAAAGTTCCGACGAATGTAGATCGGGTTTTAGCCAAGTTTCAGCAAAGGCCAAACAGAAAATTTCCGTGCTCACTGAATTTAGAAAAGTGGAACGAATTTTCGAATTTAGGCCCCTAACATTTTGATAAATTAGAGATAGTGGGCCTGAAGAAACAATTAGTTTTTTGAAGGCGACAAGACTATTGCCTTGGTATTACGGGGACGATCTCGAGGAATAAATTCCTTAATTAAGGATCCTACTGGCCACAGTGATTTGTTTAACAACATATCACTGTTTTCAGTCGGAACTAATATTTCAAAAGAGGAGATTGCCCTAGCTTGAGAAGGAGCCATTTTGAAGATGCTAACACGCTTTAAGTTGACTGATGGGACTTTCGTCCCCAGATAACCTTTTATGTTATCCACCGATGTTTCAGGTGCCAGTCTTGACACAAACATTGCTTCTCTGGGAGGAACTGCCGTCAAGCAAATGTCATTATTTGGAACAGGGGGTTCACAGTAGGAGAGTTTCGACTTAAGGAAAATATAGATGGGGTTATCGCCCTTGTACCGGCAGCTTGTGCGACTTGCCCAGTCTGGTGACCAGCATTCACACGCGAACAGCCAGGAGGAGAGGATGACTTATTTTTCTCTTCATTACTTTTAGGCGAGAAAGCCAGAGGTGACGTCCCACACGCTACGCTACGAGTAGAAGATGAGTGTCCAATAAAGCGACACTCATCAAACCTAGACTTAATGAGCTCAAACTTTTCCCACAAGGAGCCGAGATTTCTATTCAATTCCGAGAAACCATAACGGGTCTCCGTGAAAAGTTTATAAAAGTCAATGTCCCGCTGCCTACAGTCATGACATGACCATCTTAAGCCTTTAGACGAATCAGCAACTGCACCAGCAGCGCGGCCGAGAATACCGGCATACTTTGCATGACCAAAGCGCTTGCAGAGGCAACAAGAAACGAATCTATCGGATTCCGGGCCCGTTTTCGCCCGACAAGGTGTATATAAACACTCCATGTCCTGTCAAAAAAGCAGTTGTTGATTATGAAGAACAGACACACAAATCACTAAAAAAAATCCTGAACATAAAAATTTATCAACCAATTTGTGCAAAACATCTCTGTTAGGTTGACACTGTAACGAGAGATCAATAGCAACACAAACTACAAACACCAAAAAAATAAAAGAGAAAAAGAGAGAAAACAAAAAAAAAAAAAAAAAGAGATTTACATCAGAGCTCAAAATTTTTGTTTGCAAAAATCAAATGAATCAAAGCGTAAAAGAAAAATATTTCTTTTACTTTGAATTCACTCACTTATTTGAATTCACACACGATATGTGAAGTTCCTCCTAAGACAGATATAGGTTTCTATTCTTATATATCCGTATAAATTGCCTGGAATGAAAAAAAGAAAAACGCAGTTGCAGTGTTTTGTAAGGTATAAAGGAACGTTTCCTTTTTTCCACAAGCAAACAAGTTCAAGTTTGTTGGTAAAGCTGCAGATAATGTTGTTACCAAACAAATTAACGCCATTTGCGTGTTGACGAATTTGTTTCTAAAATCAAAAATAAAAATCATTTCAAAGATATTAGAATATAAAACTTTATTGGGTTAGTAAGGGTTCTGCGATATCCATTATTTCAAAAATGTAAATTATTTAATAAATGCAGACCGGTTGATCTGATTATTGACAGACGCAAATGAATTGAGAACGTAGCGCATATTTCGAAATGAAACCATTATCAAATTAGCCAATATGCATGAATCTTGTAGAACTATAGAAAGTCTTCTTGGCGATTTCAGGCGCGTCGACAGACCAATTGTGTTTAATATTCATCTGGAGTTTTTGATCGACTGTGATATTATAACAAACAAACTTCATTGGTTGAGCGAGAAATTCCGTTTCTTCGTAAAAATTTCTCTACTGTGTAAAAGTTTTAAGTCTTTCGATCCTGTTTTCCTTTTGCTTCCGTTATGACAACTTATGCAACGGCTGAAAATCGCAGATTTTTCCTTAACTATGTAATTTGTTAGAGTATTTAATACTCAAAAAAGTTTTTATCTAAATTTATAAATACTCACTTAAATTTATAAATAACGTTAAGCGAACACCAAATATTAGCTACTTTGTCTTCAAAAACTCCTCGGGATAAAGGGAACAGTCGACTTGTAGTAGAAATTAAAGAGTCCAAAGAAGTCAACCAAGGCACCCATAGGGCAAGGAATGTTAGCGTTACCACACAAGCACTTTTCAGAAATTTTATCAACTTTTTGCTGAAGCTGAAAGGATATCAAAAATTATTTTATACGAATCATTATAATCTTAAAAGTGCTCATGAACCTTGTTATTTATACGAATTCATAGTTTCATAAAAAAGTTAGAAGTGTCCTGAAGTTGTCGCACTAGTAAAAGAATATGAGTTTGTCCTTGCTTCACACATACGACAAAAGGGGAAATAAGAAAGTATTATGTGCTGTTTTGTGGAGTTCGGCACTTCTTTTTTATCATAGATATGTTAACCGTGCTGTACTTTCGTGCATTATTTTAATTGAGGAAGAAGTTATCGCTGGCATCTCTTGAAATTTTTTTATGAAAATACAGAGTTAATTGAATTATAAAATCTCGAGTCTTTTTTTAAAGATCCTGTTTCTTTAATGTTCTCAAAGTAAATAAGTGAATGTGTGTTTCTATTTTTTCTCGACCATGGACATCTCCAAAACTGAAGCTCGCAATGTTTTCTTATAACATGCTAAATAATAAATTTATCAACGCCCCTCTACTAATGAAAAATAGCAATAGTTGTGCCTTACCCGCAAGTACTTGTTAACACGTAGAAAACAAAGTCATTGTGCTCTCGAAGTCTGAAGAAGAAGAAGCACTGAAATTTGCACAAATTTTTTAAGAAAATATTCATTGATATTTTTGTGACCCATATAAAATTGACTGGACGCAGTGTGTGAAGGTAAGTTACCGATGGCTTCATATGAATGCTTTTATGCCTAAAATGCCGTTTCGCTGTAATCAGCTAATGACATATTCAACCCAAATCAAGAAATGAATGGATTACGCAAGTTATTTGACAAATATATGTGCGTCAAATGGAAATAACAATTTTGGCATCACTCGTGATTAGGATTCAAATTGTCTATGAATTAAATCATTTTTGCTACTCACCAGTTTTCAACTAAACAACTTCGTAAAAGGTATCTAAAGAACGGCAAGGCATGATATAATTCCATTTGCTTATAATTTAAGGCCAGAGAGAACGATAAAGCCGATACATTGTTGAAATCGTTTAATATGAAATACACAGCTAGCAGTAGTAAGCCGAGAGATATGTTGTTGTATTGAAAGTGTCCATTATCTATCAATATTAAGCCCGGGTATGTAATAAACAAAACGCGCAGTTGGAGGAAAATGTTCTGTTTGAATACTTTATCTATAAATGACGCACCTAAAATACACGCTGGTAAAAATATTAACGTATAAGCGGCTAAAACTGTTGAACGCAAAAAGGTTTTACGTCTTTCTGATTCGAACCCGTGAGATATCTTCAAGTCAACGGAACTGGAGTTTATCTTTGAAGCGATGTACGCATTTACGTAACTATGGTACGCTGTTAACGGCGGGTAATCAAGGCCCCAATTGCAAAACGCATGTCTTTCTTAAATATCTCCCGGTATTGCATTTGTCGGCACAAATACACCCGCAGTGCATGGAGTGTAGGAGCATCAATTAATTAATTTGGTTCAAGTTTTCTTAGTAATAGTAACGACATAGTAAGTGTTACAAATACGTATAGCAGATGCCACAAATGTGGATTAAGGGAAAGTCAAGTCGAAATCTGTCCATCTGAATAGCCACAATCTCGAAAAGAGGACCGATAAAAAGAAATGCTTTTAATGCTTTCAATTTATCTTAGAAATTAAAAATGAATTAAAGCGGTCCCCAAAAGCCTCAGCGGAGTTGCGGCAATGTAATATAAGAAATTTTGAAAATAATGTCAAGAGCAAAATATTTTGATAATTTCCTTTCGTAAACAATTTCCTCCATAAGACAATATATCGCAGGTCTGAGGACAATCAACAAAAATCATTTAGTTCTTTTTTGGTAACGGCGATGTTATAATTCACCTTGTGGTTGTCGTTTATACTCTTTATTTCTACAAATAAATAAAGCCTCCTGGTTTATCGACTGCGGACTCGGACGTGACTTTATTTGTCTTATTAGCAGGCTGATGCTCAATCGCACAAGATGTGATGACCATCTATTCAAAATTGACATAGTCAATAGCCTTTCATGTACATCGCCATAAGACCATGGAAATCAAATTTTGCACACCTAGTCATATCGGTGTATTGGGAAACGACCAAGCTGATCGAGCGGAGAAGTCTGCTGCTTCTGCACCTCTATTCTGCACCTATGCATCCAAATGCTTATCATCACTGCACGTTATTGGTGAATGCAAACAAAACCCATTTAGGAGATTCTCTTGTTAGAGAAGAGGTACACCCCATCTATTTCTTATGCAAAAAATCGTTATTTTCATTATTCTTTCGGCTAAGGCAACTTATATAGGCAAAGCCACGGCTTCGAAAAAGTCTGCCATTAAAAATTTATGTGATGTTAATAGCACCGTAAATATAGCGCAGCTACTGTCGGAAATTGGTTATGAATTTTTACGCACTTCAGCCACAGAACTGGAAGATGGCGGCAATATTCAGACCATGAAACAGAGGGGATTTCAACTCATAAATCCAACAGAAAAGTGGTTTCCAGAAATTGATGTTTTGCGTCATGAATTTAGTTCTTGGGAATGGATCGTTGGAAAAACGCCTACCTTTAGCGTTGAAAAAGAATTAGCTCTGAAGACGGACGGCGATAAACAGTTAATAATGAAATTGAGTGTCGGCGTCGAAAAAGTAAGAAGTGCTCCTAGCTTTTGAAATCCTGTTAACATCCTCTGTTTCCTTCTTCAGGGTTTAACGGCCGATATCAACATTGTGATGCCTAATGGGGATAGATTGCCGGTTATAACCCAATTCCAAAACAAAAGCTTTAACGAGAAAAATTTGAACAATATAGTTGGCGCTCTTAAGTTGGCTTCGACGGACAATGTTAAACAAGCTATTAATGGCTTATAAGGGCTATGTCTAAATTGTACTTTCGACAGCTTTATGTTTGTTTACTTTTACGACAATTTGCGAAAAATAAAGATGCAATGTCTTCATTTACTTTTTTTTTTAAACATTAATTATTCCTCTTATGTAAGTTAGTTTCAAACAGATTTTCTGCAGCAGAGAAACTAACAGGAGATTTTTTAAAAGAAAGGAGCTACAACGGAAAAATTAAAATGTTATGGGTACCAAGTCATCGGTTTACTGGGAAATGAGCAGGCTGATCGAGCGGGAAAGTATGCTGCTTCTGCTCCTCTATTATGGATGATGTCATGGAAAAGTTGGATCTTCAAAGATACATTGGAAGAAAAGTTTAAGAGAAAATTGCAGAAGGAAATTTACAATACCATCATCAACACTACTCTTGCATTAACCCTCAATTAACTCCACCTTTATATCCAACATATGTGGAGAAAATCCAAATCCAAATTTTTCGAGAATTCGCTTTGATCATACAATTGCAACTCACCAATGCGTCTTGAAGAAGTCTTCCTCCCCAATCTGCAATTCCGGACAAATTCTCACTATAAAGCACATTCTCTGTGACTGCCTTAACTTTACCTTGGCTAGAAGTATTGCATTTGGAACGATTAACCCAACGCACATTCTACAATCAGCTGCAGAACAAAATATCAATACAATATATTACTTTATCAAAACCGATAGCCGGTGTTGCTAGTGCTCAATGTCTTTATTTAGTCTAAGAATTTATTTCATTTGTCTAAAATTATAACAATAATAGTAATAATAATAAACTTTGCGCCTGTTGCAATAGTTTTAAAATAAATTTTCGAACATTTTAAGATATATGATGTCGTATAAGGATTGCTTCACTAATTCATGGTACGCAGAGTGAAGCGGTCAACTATCACTTCCATATTTAACAGAATACCTTGGAAGATATGAGTTGGTAAGCATTAAAGATTCATCATATAAGAAAAATAGGATTTTATTTCTATGTAAATATAACAAGAGATTTATTAAGATAGTTTCTGGAGTCAAATTGAGGTTTAAGAAAATATTCGTAAGTGAAAAATAACCTAGCCCGTGTTACATTTTTCCTAGCACAATAAACTGCTATGTACTAAAAACCTTTTGATTAATTTTTTAATGTTATTTCTAGTTATGATATGCCGTTGTTACCCAATATTTTTATTTTCTGTCGGTATGTTTTGATAACATTACTGTATATGCTTCTCATAATAAATTTGGTCACAACGTTCATCGTGATATTGTGACCGGTTTGGACACTTACACTTCATTGCTAGTTGGTTTCACCATATTCGGTATATTAGGTCACTTGGCTCATAAAATCGGTACCGACGATATTGGTAGCGTGGTTATGGGAGGCGGGGGATTGGATTTTATTTCTTATCTGAATTATATAGCGAAATTTGAAAATTCACTCCGGATATTTTCTCTTCTCTTCTTTTTAATGCTATTTGTATTGGGTATTGGTTGCAATATACGCATGAACTTAATAATACAATTATTCAACAAATATCCCCATTTAAGCAGCCTCTTGAAATTTATTTATTCCGGATGTGCTAGAAAAATTGATCCATAAATAATAAACTATTAGATTGCACGATAAAATAAATTTAGAAACGCATAAAGTTCACTCCTAAAAGCTGTTATTACATTTCACTTCTTGAAAATTCCTAAACTCTCTTGTTACTTCCTTTTCAACTCTTTGTTAACGCCTTTTATTATTTGAATACCCAACAGCAAATTGTATTGCTATCACGTTATTATAAATTGTTTTATTTAAATAAATAAATAACTTATCGTTAGCCAAGAAGCCAAGAAGTATCGGTAAATATAAAGATAGCAAAAATAGATTGAAGAAATAGATAGTATTGAAAACGCATATATCTCTCTAATCTCCCATGAATTTAATAGGAAACAATCCTAAAGTTGTACGAATATTCTTTAGCGGTTGCCGGTGTCCGAGTCAAAATCCATATCTGTTTTTTTCTAATATTGTAAACTGTTTGAAATCAGTGCAACTTTGAAAGCGTTCATGATATGAATACTTAAAAAAGAAAGTTGTAATTTGACATCGTTAAGTTGTTAAAATTGGTTTTTTTTAAAAAGATTTTATGTAATTTTTTTTGCTGAATCTGCATTTTAAATAAGCCGAAAAATTAAAAAGTGAACAAATGGCAGTATCAAAATTACGGAGAAATTACGGAGAAATTTGGTTGCACTTTCGTTTTTTTACATTTGGCGTTTATGTTTGTTAGTTTCTTTTATGAATTTTTGTGTCATGATTTTTCTACACTGCAGCAAAAAAGTGATGTTAGTTTGTGATATTTCTAAGAATTGGCAGTACTGTCTATGCTTGCACAAATGATTGTATTGCACAAGCCGACAAAAGAAAGGAAGAACACGCGAATCTCTTTAAATTTGTATAAGTTTTCTCCAAAAAAGAGTTGTGAAAAAGTGGTGCTTAACCTACAAGACTTTGATGAGATTTGGTCCAAGCACGTACGCTATTGAAAATGTGGCAAATCGCAAAGAAAAGTAATGGCTTGCAAGATTCTGAGCTTGTTAGTAAAACGAGAAAAGGTACATAATTGTTATAAATATTGCAATAAGTCCTAATTCAGAAAAAATGGCATATTCATAGCGGGAATTGCTATGAAGCAGGCATTGCTATGAATATGCAAGTGAATTTTGGCATACTCTATATTTCAGATTGTTAATCATTCCCGTCATTTCGCGTACGTAAACGAGAAATTCTTTCTGGTCATATTTTACAGCTTCGTTATTAAACCTAGGATCTGTGACTAAAAGACTTTTAACTACATTCTTTATTAAGTTTGTCTCTGCCAATCACGACTTTCGTGTCAATTGGGTGTTAAAAGGACGCATTTGCAACTCTACGCCTCTGTGCGTGGTTGCTAATGGTTGCTTCCGAAACTTTCTAGAGACGTAGGAATAATTACAACTCACTTTGCAACACATTAGCAGGCCCAGAACTAAAGGGAAACAAGAATTTTGCATGTATTGTGGGTCTTTCGAGAATAAGTACATATTCGTTCTCAATAATTCAACAGGTCTTGGAACGTATGTACATAAGCATTTGAACTCTACATCACAGTGTCAAGCGCCCGGTGGGAAGGACTGAGCCACCAAGCGTAAATGTACCGCAAATTAATATTTACCAGAATTATAGACAAACTCAAATGTGTTATCTGATGTTATTGACAAAAAGAGCAACGCATTTTGCGTTCAGACGCGTCTTGCATATACTCGATATACCCTTGGAATACAGAAGTATAGAACATAATTTATTTTATTTATTATTATTAAATATTATGTTTTATTGTATCGCAGAAAAGATAATAGACCCATGGAAGACTCTTCTACTGAAGCTTCATTTGTAAATGTATCAGTTCAGAAGTCTATTCATTTCTCTTAGGCAATAGTTTTTGTATTTCTTCTTTTAATAGATTTGAATTGGTGATTACTTTGAGTAATTACTAACATAAACAACGTATTACAAATGACTAATGTATATAATGTATTTCACTTCTTAGCATCAGAAAAGATTTCTGAGAATATATATATCGTCGCCAATGATCCATCCCTAGCTTTTTACCGTATACAAGAACATGTGAGAAAAGTGATTCAGCCGATATTAGATAAGAGATTGGAAGTTATTCATCTGCAGAATAACCTGCAGGGTCATTGTTATGACATGGAATACTCAGTAGGGTAAAAGCTCTATCTGTCACATTATATATATAACAAAAATTTTAACTCTTTCTTGTCGTCACTGTTTCTTTTTTCATTATTATTTTCTAGAGCAATTAGAGGCATAGAGAATTCTGAAGAATTCTTCCGAAATATCCAGGAACTAATTAAAACATCTATATTTTTAAAGCAACAATTAAAGTATGAAGAAGGAAAAAATAAAACTGACAAAGATTCTACAAATTCCGTTTATAAACGATTTTCTGCTCATTTAACCTTAGATTTTCCTGATTTCAGTGGAGTAGTGAGAGAAACGAGTCAACGCATGGAAACAATAATGATTTCAAATAGAGGACAAAATATTGGAGAACTTCAGAGATCTCACACAACTTTACATTAACGAAAGAGTATGTTAATCAACATGTATTTAATATTAAATATATACCAAATAATACAATAATATTTGTAAATGACTAAAATCAGCAACAGCACTTGAGATGTTATTTACAAGCACGCATTTTCTGCTTGTTAAGTATTTCAACTAATGTTATTAACGGCAGCAGTTTTATTAATTTATGCATTTATTGGCCGACCAATGCAGATCACTTTTCCAGGCAGTTTCTTGACAAACTTAACCCAGACATTTTGCACGCGCCCCCTATTGTTTGGTGTGTTATTACCATTTATCAATTTACTTTAGTTGTTAAAGCTTCCTCACATCGCTTAACAGAGATAAGCCATTAAGTAGAAATTTTATTTTAGCGATGCAAATAAGTACAAAACAAATAAGAGTGGTGTAATCGGACAAAGCCGACCTTCAGAAACTCTACTACTAAACCACTACCTCGAATAATGCAGCCGTTCACCTATTTTCGTAACAACACACCAAAAATTATGTGTTATTTTTTAGTAGTTTAGAAAAACTTGCTTTCATAAGCGACGGTTAGTCTAAGAAATAGACCTACGCGATCGAAATTCCCTACCGTCAATTTTTTGCTAAATTGCCACTGTTGACCAATTTTCATCACAAAATATTAAACTTTTCTGAATTTCTTAACGTGCATGAGAAATCTTATATGGTAATCATGTCCAGAAAATAGACCTACGTGGTCCAAGTCCAGTAAGGTAGATTTATTTGTCAATTTACCACTACATACCAATTTTCGCCATGAAATATTCAAAATTACTCGTTTTCATCATATAAAGATTCCTAGCAACAGTTATGTGAGAGGTATTTTAACACTTTTTCCCTGTCAACCCGAATTTTTCTTGCTAATTTAAATTGTCCGAGCTTCATCGAAAAATTTTGAAAATAGCAATTTTTCCCCATGTAAAGACTTCAAGGCATTATTTATATGGTGGTCGGTCGAAAAAGTGGACCGATTTGACCTATTTTCAATGGCGTTTGCTCTCATGCCAAAAAAATGCCGGCGTACTAACTTTCGTCAAAATATCTAAATAATTTCGACTTTTATGTTGAACACAACACAACGTGGACAGACATCTGAATCGAGCGGTGTAACTAAAGATGGGTTCTTCTTCTTCTGGATGTCACGTACGTCCCCGCACAAGCTTCATATACTCTATGCCTTAACACTTGATGTCAATGACTCAAGGTAGACGATTACAGCGTCTGTAAATAAGTGAATTCATTTTTGACAAAATGAGTGGCAAATGTTAGATCTCTTCCCATACATAACCTTTTCTAAGCCTTTTCTGAAGGGTTAAGATTTAAAATTTTTTTTCAAATATTTATCTTTAAGCGCAATTAAAAGAGAGCGCGAATAGTGTCCAGTTATATCCTACATCACTTGCGGCATAAGGTATATTAAGTTGGTGCGGTCGTATGTAACACGCAGAAGGGCTTAAGATAGATCCACCTTTTATTATACCGATCGATACAGAAAATGATTAAACCGGTCTGTCCAAGTAAATTTGTGTTCAAGCTACAAGTCCCAATTTTTGATATATTTTGATGAAGTTTGGTATACTGATACACGTTGATTCAAGGACGGTCCACTTCTTTGACCAGCCCGCATATAACGCTCTACTCTGAAAAGTCATTATGGCTATTAACATCGTGTCACGTTTCACTCATAGCAAAATGCATTTCAAAAACATCTTTAACCCGCCTTCCTTACAAACCCACTGAATGAACGACCCTAATGATGTACGACCAACTGACTTCCTTTACTTATTTAACATATTTGCCTGTAAATCAAGCAAGAGGAACTAAAATGTAGCAACTAAAAAAGTGCGATTACTTGCTTAAAAAAGAAAAAGAAAAACAATGAAATTTCCGTTCAGATAATGTTAACAGTATGTATGCCTTGCCACGAAGTAACCGAAATACTCAAGAGCAGATCCACTTTTCGAATATTTCGAATTGTGACTGAAGAAACTCCGTCAAGCAAAATGTATGTATCTTTTGTCAAAGCTATGAAACGTTTTGCCCGCAAACCCCTAAACCAAAAATTTTTCTCCTTTTCTAAGATGAAACATTAAAGGAAAGGCCTTCAGTGGTTGCACTGTTTTGTTTACGATGACATTTAACTTTTTTATGCTTATCCTTGTCAATCGTTGATCAATATGTAAATTAAGATATATGTAAACAAATTGGACGCGTACTCTCACATTTTTCGAATTATTGAGAATATATACGCTTATTCTCGTATGTGGCCAAATTTTTATACGCTTATTCTCGTACATGGCCAAATTTTTATACAAATACTTGAACAATTATTCAACAAATGATTCTCAAATTGGACGCTTTGTTACTATATAAAAAGACATTTTATATGTTTATTTATGTGAATTTACAGTTCGAATGGGTTAGAAGATAATTTTAGTCAAAGTACTTCAGATGAAACTTATAAAGAAAAAGAAAGACATATAAAGTCTACGGATGAAGATAATAATAAAGAAATTAAAGATAATAAATAGCCAATACCATCGCTTGCCTGAACGCGTACTAATGGGTAAAGTAACTTCTAGATTGGGTTTGACACTGCTCACTTTTCAACCCGAGGTGAGTTGAAAGAAATACTTTTTTTAAGTTATTGAAAACAAATTTTCTTTACTACTTATGACTTTTTTGGGAAGCCAATCAACAACATGTTTAAGATTGGTTATGTATACACAGATTAGATGAATCTTTAAGCATAAAATGAAAGAAAAGAAGCGTTTGTTTGAATATGTTCCACAAAGAACTACCCCAAATTATACTAAATAACAAAAATAAATGAAAAACCCCATTAAAAAATTTGCTTGTTCATTGTCCTTATTAAAATAGATTAGAAATATAGAAAAAATTATATTAAAGTGACAGAGTGATAGCAATTGGGCTTCCCAAATTGGCTTGAAAACCTTGAATCGGCTGGGACAATTTTTTGAACCCCTTACTAAAACCTTCCTACGAAAGCTGAGTCCTTATATTATAAGAAACGTTAAGTTTCAATATTTCTATGTTAAAATTAGTTCACAATAGTAAATTGACAAAGAAATCAACCTTACCGAATTTGGACCATAGTCATAATTTTTGGATACGTTCACATACAAAGATTCTCGAAAAATGTAAACCCTTATAAACCAAAAAGGCCTATTGCGATAGTAATTTGATTTAAGAATTAAATGGACCAAATTTTAGGCACATGGGTCTATATCCTTGACCCAGATCATATGTTAATTTATATAGTGGTTGTCATGAAAAACGTCTTTATATGGAGAGGAAGTCTTATTTCGGAAACTGAAAAATAATAAAATTTTTAGTTAAGTCGATTAAGTTTGCTGAACTTAGATCACGGCATGTGATGCTTAGGGCATCCTCCTGTATGCCTACTTCCATGAAAAGTATGCTCTTGCCATAAAAATAATGTGTTATTTTTGATGTGTTAAAGTGGCGTGATCCAAAAACACGGTATGTGAATTCTATTGGAATAAATAAAAGCTTCCTTCTTACGATGTGTAAAGTGACGAGGTGTGAATTTACTGCTGCATATCTATGAGCTAAATCATTAGTCTCAAATTAACGTTCGTTACCCATTTGTCACAACAAACACACTACTCAAAGTTAGTCCGCGTTGCCATGTAAAGTCCTCACACATCATATCATAAGATTTGATGCAAAAAGAAGCTGGAAATTGACTGCTTGTGTTTTAATACCTTAAATTTTTTGTTCAATTTTATAATTTTTTAATTTTTTTTATTTTAGTTTTATGTAAAAATTTCTTCCAATTTTTAACCTTTTTAATTTTTTTTTTTAAATTTTCTTCTATTTAACTATTACAATAAGAACCCATTGAAACCTGTACTGGAAACAAAATGAACTTCCAAGTTAAGTTCCACACTCAGCATACGCTTACTTAATTAGACAATTACTAGACTGGCTTGCATGTGGTAACAATCACGTTTATAGCTGAATTGAAAAGGTTTTTTGAAAAACGAAATTGCTAGCGATATCACATTCGACATGCGTCACGTATGTACTTAAATTTTGGTAGTTGAATTCGGAATGAAAAACACCTGTAGAATGTATAGAATATAATCCACGGTAGTTAAATTTGTTTGGACATATAAGCCACAAATCTATTGGCTTGGTCCATCTCCATCCAACATACCAAAAAAAAAAAGTTAATTTCGAATAGAGCAACTGAAATGAAAGAGAGAAATGATTTCATATTGTAAAGAAAATAATCCATGGGTTTTCACATCATATGGCAGTGGATTAAAAAACTCGCTCCATCCAACCACATCTTTTCATATCAAACTAGAACGCCGAAATGGTATATTCAGCGAATTTTGCCAAGTAATTGTAGATATTACAATATAAAGAGTTGTGTGGGGAGCAGTGGAAAATATGGTCCAACTTTGACAATTTTCAATAGGCTTTGCCGTTAGGTTGAAAATTAGACGATTATATAGATAGACAACCTTGCACTGATTCAGAAAGTGATTTTGATTCTTGCTATAATAAAAGTCGGGCCAATGGCCCTGACCCCTGATGGATGTTATATATTCGCACAAATATAATATATCCTGATACAAAAAGTATTGTATAAAAAAAGAAACTTCTAGAAGTTAGTTTAGATAAAATATTTATTGGTGTAATCAGGCACTGCTTATTCAAATAATTGGTCCAAAATTAAAGCCTTCAACTACATCAACAATTGGATAACCGTGGTAACCGTGAGCCCATTGCTCATTACACGCTGTACAACTATGTATGTATTATATTTCATAAATAGTGGCAACGTCCAAATGATATACTGAAAAGATTTTTTTGATCCAATTCTCATTCAGAAGCGTGTTTTATTTACTTTTACAACAAATGTTAGAATTTGTAGTGAAATTAAGCGGCTTGCAGAGGTTTTTTTGCATTCAAACACCTTTGCCTCCTATAAAGTAGCCCTACTAGTAAGAAAGTTTACGTACGTCTAGGCGGACACATTGCCGTTAAGTAATTGTCTGCTTACATGGGAACATTGCACGATATAAAGCTAACAAAAGGGAACGGAAGAAAAATTTTCAAACTTGGCCAAGATTTAAAATTTACAGCAGACCACTTTAATTGTTTCAAATTTTTGTATAAGACATCGACATTCTTTTAATGAAAATGAAAACAACATTTTATGGTTATCTCGACAATTAAGACTATCGCCAATTGTATTCTAATTAACCAAATTAAACAATCAATTCGAAATCGTGCCAAAGTTTACAGAAAGTAATTCCCAAGCAGACTGCTAAAGGAATAAAACCACTGAAGATTTAGCTCTATTGAAAAGGTAATTTATATATAAACGAAAGGATATCCTATAATCATACTATTCGCAATTAATGTTTTTAGAACCATTATTTTACAAGTGCGTTCAAGTGCTTTTACTCAACAAATTTGATTTGGTAAGTTCTCTGCAGCATTCTTTCTATTCAGGCAATCTGGCCGATAATTTATGTTTGTTAAACCAACTTACTCTTTATAAGGAAGCAGTTCGTGTGCCATTAAGCTATTTTAGTCAAGATATAATTCTCGGAAGTTTCTGTTACATATTTACTTCCGACAATGGGCGACTAGATGTATATTCCTGTGCGATATAATTTTTACATCATTTGTTGTACGAGGTAGGTGAACACTGCTCGGATATGTACAAAACATCAGAAAGACTTAAGTAGACCATAGTTTTATTGTACCAATCAACTTAGACACGTTGCACGAATCCAAAAATCAGATCGCAGTTTTCGAGATATTTTGCTCAAATATGAAAAGACGATTCTTAGTACTATGTAACTGGGATAATATTGCGCTAAAGAAAATTTTAAATAAGTGAGCGCATATTTTAAGGGGGTCCGATATTTTTTTCTAGAAAAACAGACGAACGTTGACGTGTACTGGATGAGTCAATGAATAAATTCCCCAAAAATACTTCCAATAAAAAAGCGACTTGTCTACGCAAACAAGACATTTAATTTACTAGTTGAAGAACTTCTTAGGAGAAAGTCAGAGCATATGAAGATTTATGAACAGTCCCTCGGTTCTTAATCTTAATATCGTGGCTCCATAAAAGTAAGTGAATAAAGTTAAAGCAACGGAACTCTCTGAAAACATGAGATTGTTAAATTGCTTGCAAAAAAACTTTCCACGGTATCGAAAACACATAAGAACCATTCGATATTCGATACCGTATTAGATAAGCAAGCAAAAAATGTATATCTGGCTAGGACCGAATTTCTTATATCTACGACCCTTAAAATCTTGGACGGCGCTCTTATTTATTGCCAGAAAAACGTGCATGCTACAAAATTTATCTCTCCCATTTTAATTCATTAAAAGGCATTATTAAGAAACATTAATATAATCATGTCGTAACGTCCACTATATTCCATTAGAAAAGAAAACACTTCTCGGGAAAAATTCAGTGCGTACGAGGGCTCCCTCGGTACTTAATACCGTAACACAGCAAAAATAAGTGAAAAAATTGATTAATGCTGAGTAGTAAGGTATTAAGTTTGCATACAAAATAAGTTGCCAGGGAAAGATCAAGGCGTACGAATTCTCCTGCGGAATTACTCAATATTTTGTATCGGGATATTGCAAACATAAGTGAATAAATTCCCTCAAAATATTTTGAATGAAGAAGCGAACTTCCTAACTGGATAAGATGATAAATTACTTGCCGAAGAACTTACAGAAAGTTGAATACGCCTGAAATCTTATAAATAGTCCCTTGATCTTTTATTGTGACACCACAAATTAAGTAAAAAATTATTTAAAGATAATACTTCGAAGAAACGAGTGATCTCTCTGTAGCAGTTGGATATTTAATATATTTAGAATACTCGTACGAAATCACGCGATAGTTTGTACGAAAGCATAGAGAAAATAAGTCAAAAAATTCCCTGCGAATATTATGTATAAGGGAGAAAACCTTCTAAGTGGATAAGATGCCATGGGAACTTCAATATGTGTGAAAAGCTCGGTCGCTTATAACTTGACACCGAAAAAATAAGTGGACATGTTCGCTAAAATATATATTTCGATCAAGCGAGGGATCTTGCCAAACCGGTAGGAAATTTAATTTGCATCCAAAAGAAATAACCAGCGAAAGATCATGGATGGGATAGGACGTTTAATTTGCATTCAAAGGAGCATCCAAGGAAAAACCATGCGTAAAAATAATGGACGTTTGCATGTATCTTGTGTCGCTGACCAATTGGTGAACATGTTAAAGTAATACGAAGAATCAATATAAACAAGGATTGAATTCGACGGAAAAGACTCAAAAGTAGGGAAAATGGCTACCATACGAATTGACTGAAAATATCATTACGAAGGTTTTCAACGTCGTTTGTTCGGTGCTTGCCCGGTAATAAACAGTTTTCCGTGTCGTATTGTGACTGACGATACTACGACGATCGGAAGCGCAAAAAGGCATGAGTTAGTGCAGGAAATCGCTCAACATCGACGCCAAAGCGGAATATTCATGGCAAGTTTTGCTGTGCTTATGGTGGCATCAACAAGACTTAGTGTATTACGAGCTGCTAAAATCGACTGAAACTGTTACTTCAGATGTCTACCGACGTCAATTAGCCAAATTGGACGATGTATTGTTGCAAAAAAGAACGCCAATAGCGGTTTCAAGATGCAGTCCTCTTTCATGACAATACTCTGCGACACGTTGCAAGGTTGCTGCAGCTTGAATCGGAATTTTCTGTCCCGCCCAGCGTACTTATTACACATAGCGTCTTTTGATTACCACTTGTTCCGATTTATGTACCATAGTTTAGCTGGCCCGCGGTTTGGAAACGCTGAACAAGTGCGAAAATGGGTCGATCACTGCCAAACCGATATCGTTTTCTCCACACATTATGGCCGTGTCCGGACATGACGGAAAATATTGTACGAATTTTTCCCAATAAATGCCTTTTTCGAATGAAAAATTTATCAAAGTACATGCAAGCATCTAGTGTGTATATAAAACCATTCGTTGTGTGCCACAATGGCAGAAGAATATGCAAACAAATTCGCTAAATTTAATATTTCAAACATAAAATCGAACGCTCTAAAGGCATTTAAAATTTGATTTGCTTCTAAAAAAAGTTCTTTGGGAACGTCAGTGAGAGTATTTACACAATATCTTTATTCTAAAAAAACTCTGTGAAGGGGTGAGATGTTTAACTTACTCGCTGAAGAACTTTTCAGGGAGATTCCAAAGCGTAAGAACACTCAAATACCAGTCGACATTTAGTATCGCTATACTGCAAAAAGAAGTGAATAAATTTCAAAAAACTTTACATATACGGGACTGAACTTTTTAAGCGAATAAGGTGTTCAATTTAGTTGCAAAAAAACTCCCCAGGAAAACGTCAGTGGGTACTTACGCGAAATCACTCGAACTATACGGAAAGAATAAATAAATTCTTTGTAAATACCGTATATAACAAGGGAGTGAATCGTCTGAGAGTATCAGACATTCACTTTGCTTGCATACTATATGTCAAGACAACGTCAAAAAACATTAATAAAGGAATCGGTCAATATTCTTGATTATGATACCCATATAAACGAATTCATTAAAAATAATATATTGAACTAGTTAACGAATTGTTTAATTAGCTTGGACATGGTCTGTAAAGAGATCATTATTGCTCACAGATAGGTCACTCGATTCTAATCTGAAATTCTATCGCCGTCAAGCAAATGAAAAAAGGAAGGGAACATGGAATTCATTTCGTATATAGATAGCTTATTTAGCGACGGCAAGTTAAGAGCAGTAAACAAGTAACAAATAAATTTGCGATTTCTTTTGAAATGTTTACGCTGCTTAAATATATACATTTTACGGAAATATTTATAAAGAATGCACCATATATTCAAGGTTTGCGAAATACCTCTGCGGTGTCATTAGAACATTATCTTTACATTTGCTAATACTACAATACTTCCTATTTTATGCATATTCGTAAGGATATGCGCTTCGTCTAACTTGATTAACAATTTTACTGATATTGCTACGTCCACTTAATTAAAGCGTAACTAGTAGCTTCGCAGTTGTGGAGAAAATCAACGCATATTTGAAAAAGTTGTTAAATGCGTAACAACGCATAAACTGGATTGGAAAAAGGGGGTTTTTTCTTATGTAATGTTTTTATGTAGCGTAGCATAATTTAGTTGAAAATGCGGAAGTGTATAAGGAAAACTTTTGGGCCACTCTAATAGCGATATACGATAAATTCCAGTTGATATTCAATGCAATTATAACAAAACCACCTTTTAATTTATGTGCAAGCAACCAGTTACTGGTTTTTGATTCTATTTGCAAAGAGTAAGTATTAAAATTTTCATAATTCAGCCAAAGACGGATGCCGCGAGTTCAAGTCATAATAAAATTGTCCTTTAATTTGGAATTTCATAGTCGTCATTGGCCAGTTTGCGCTTTTTTTCAAGGCATTAATGCTATCGTCAAGATTCTTCAGTAACTTTAAATAGGCGGAGTTAAATAAACGTCTTAAATGCATCCACTTTTGCATTTCAGTCTTGTGCTAAACTAATATTTCACTCAAAGAACACGTAAGAATGAATTACAGTTTATATGAAGAAAGAAAAAAAAAAATAGAAATGTAACAGTTTGTGAGAAGTTATGAATGGAAGCCGAAAATGCTGGTCAGAAACCTTTATTACTTGCGAGATATCATTTTTACTCAAAACCCACTCAATACCTGAAGAGAGCATCAGTAAAGCAGTTACAACAGCACTAAGTTAACTAAGCAACGACACAACGACGATCTTCCTACTTGATTTCATTCACGTAAGTGTTGCATGTGTATGGGCTTTAACTACATACATAGAAATGTAAACAAAACAAGAAACCAAATGAGGCAACAGGTGGCGGCGCTGCTTTTTCAAAGTTGTCTTGCCATTATCTTAGCGAAAAGTCAACTCTAGCTACCAGCTACCTGTGGAAGGTACAATATGTAATATTTAGGCATGATAGTTTGCTTATGTCTTTTTGTGCATCCGTATGTGTGCTCACTTGGTATGTGTATTGATGTCTGCTTATGAATGTACGTTATGATCAATCGCATGAATTAACATTGAATATGTATCTTGGTCTTGTTTTCGGTAAAGTAATGGAGCACTCTTTTGCTCAATGCACTGAGTGGCTCCTAATAATTTCATTTTACTATAATAAGTGCGGAATAAAGTGTGCGCTTTTTTCTTTCAGAAGGTCATGGTTAGTTTGGCCACTCCTGAACAACCAGTACGCGCTTGGCATTGAAGAAAATGTGACTGATTACTACTACTGCTCGTTATTGATTTCAAACAACTTACATCCAAATGTTTATTGTGTTTTTTGTTTTTGTTTCTCTGCCTCTATCGTAACTTAATTAGAACATCAGCAGTTGTTTAGATATAAATTGTGAACATTTTATTTGAAAAAAATTATAACATAATAAACAGAATATGGAAACTTGTGTTTTAATACCGCAGGAATTCTCTTTGGCGATAAATGCCTTAACCAATAATAATGAAACCGATCTAACCGTATGGACTTGCTCAGATATACCAAAAGGACAATTATTTTATCCGTTTCAAGGAACAATACGAATAGATAAACTAAATATCGCCAGCAGTTTGCAAGACGACGATGTAAGTAATCTTAGGTTTCTCTACATAGTCTAGTTTATTCAGTTTTATTATTTATCATCTCTCTTAATAAATGCTAACCTTGCAGATTTCTTTTAATTGAAAAAATATTCGCTGTAATGAAAGAACCTCCACCCAACCTAAAAAGAATTTTAAAGGAACGAGAGCGGCGGAGGGTAGTTCGGAATAAATATTTAAATTTTATTTAGAAGAATTAAGTGCTTAACGGTTTAGCTACGTTTAGAGATGTTCCTAAAACTAGACTCTAAACTCTAAATTTTATGACCCATTCTTTAAGTTTTTTTTAGAAAATATTGAACATCTCTTACGGTAAGCAATGCGCTTATGGGATTTATGTAGGAAATCGGGAAGAAACCAGAGACTTTGGAAATTCTCTGCGGTAAAATCAACGAAAGTCCAAAAAAACTTTCAAATGGATATTAAATTTCCGCCACGGTGCATCGCCTCTTAATAGTATTATTACTATTGCAACCCTCCCTTTTCACGCGGTATATGCATTCTTGAAACGTAAATTGCGTAGAAGCAACCTTCATGGAAGGCTCTCCGATCTTGCAAGCTGTCGATTTTAAATTTCGTGTCATTTTAAGCTTTGAATTGGTTGTGTAAAATTGGACAAAATCGCCATAATCTTTGGGAAGTTCTATACATAACAACTTCTAATTTCAAACCTGAAAAGTATGTCTACAGAGCCTTCCTCGAATGACATCTATCTTCTTAGCACAGATGGTCGTCTAAAAGTGAATAATATGCTCGTAAAAAGGTTTTTTTCTTTTTTTCTATCGTAACTCGTATATGAAAGTTCGCGCAAAAAGATGTTCAAAAGTACTTTATGGTCGTATCTTATCGTTTAGATTAGTCCTCTAATGGAGAGCGAAAATAATCATCTTGTCATAACGCTGGTCTATAAATAAACATCGGAGTAATTTAATTACGTGAATCTCTTTCCCCCGTGTCAATTTTTCCACATTTATGTAGTAGGAATTCCCAATAATTGTAAACTTTGAAGAGCAAGAGGGTTCACAATAGCTAAGAAGCTACGGTAATGACTTAACTTAAGAGTAGAAGTTTGAAAGAGCCATTTATAAACGTTACTTTGTTTAAGTACATGCTTCGGATTATCGGTATCCAAAGTTACTTTTCTTACTGATTAATTATATTTGTATGTTATGTTTCATTTGCATATACAATTTTATATTATGATTACCTGCAAACTGTGGACAATGTTGATAAAGAAAACCAAAAGGAGAATAAACTGAGCATTTATTAAACATTAGTCCGATAATAGCAACAAATTGCATTATTTTTTTTTTGGTGTTTGAAGTGTGAAAGACGATTTGGCTTATATTTGAACCAATTCTTTGTTGCAACAATAATGACCCTTCAAAAATCTTTAAGAGATCTCTCTTTATTTCTTTGAATTTACTCTCAATATCTGGGACAAGAGTATTTGTCCATCGGTTTGTAATAATTAAAAAGACCTAAGAATTTTTATAAACTCTTTTTTTTATGTTACATCCATTTAATGTGCTCCCTTAGTGTGGTGGCAACATAAATCTTTTCTAACTTGAAATTTATTATATAAAATGATTAAACTATATTAACAAGAGAATTGACAAACCGACCACATTCAATCGTCCTACGCTAAAATATTCAACAGTTGCAGATCTTGTATAAAATAGAGTTCGATGATTATGTTTGCAAGTAGGCGTTGCCTTAGCAGATATTTAAATTTCTGTGCACCAGCAAAAAAAATTATATATTTTTTTTGATAAATTTTATTATATATTATTGCATGAATTCTTCGGATCGGGTGTCAATTAACTGCATTTACACATTATAATTTTAATGTATTGTTAAGATAACAGTGTGAGAAACTTCTCACAGCGATACGTACTTCCTCTGAACTCTTGTATATGTTATATTTGATTAATTAGATGACCGCATAAAAGTTTTAGATAATACATGTATTGCAATGAATACGCCGACCAATGAAATATGCATTAGACAGGCTCTTCAAGTTTTATCTCTCTCTTTCTCTCTCTCTGACTAACATATTTCAGAAAGTTTTCACACTTAATGAATACATAGTACGTAAACGCTTGTAAGGCAAATAAAGGTATAGAGAGAAAACTAAGAGTCCATTAAGTGTTTTCTCTATTATAAAGCCAATCCGATTATCTCTATCCTTTCACTTATGAATATGAATTGAATCTCATTCAAAAACATTTAATTTAATTTGTCTAAATTACAAATCTCTCAACGTTCGAGATTCCTACACTTTATGACAATTTATACCATCTTTTTCGCGCTTAGTCTTTTAATTTCGGTAAAATAATATTCATCAAATTTATATTCCTACTTGGATCTTTAATATGAAAAAGCGATGAAAAGTTTTTTTTATTATTAGTCTCATTTCGGTCACAGCTTAAGTTTATTACCATCTTAACAAGTAGAAGCTTTTTCTTTTGTGAACCATTCTAATGCATAAGCCTACCACTGTTGGTGCATTTACGCTTTATAAACTCACGTATAAGTTTAAATAAATGTTATAAAATCTAGCAAAGTATTGAGAAACCACCCCGCCTTTACGTCAACATAAAGAAAAGCATAAATTTAGTGAAGAACTTACTAAGAAGCTATGAGAATTTCTTGAAGATTTTCCCAGTGTCATGGGAGAGTAAGCATAATAAGAGTTGGTTAAACTTCATGGGAAAATATAACCCTCATTGTTTTGCGGGTGTGTTCGTCAAATGTTAATGCAGCATAATTCTATATGTATATATATGAGTAGAAGTACTCACATACACATATGTGCACGGCTTGGTAGGTCTATTTACAAGTATGTTGTACGTAACACGAAAATTTTATAGCTGAACGATAATTATTCATTATTGGTGTTAGACAATAACAGTACGAAGAAGAAATTGTATTTGGATTTTTGTTGTAAATTTGTGACCGTCATTTATGAGAAATTGGTCCTAAAAACATTTGAAAATAAGACGGATTTTCTATCAAAATCCGCCTCCACTTTCGGGAACTTTACTTGCTCTCAAGTCAATCGGCTTGAGGAAAAAGAGAAGTTTGTCGTTAAAAATTATCATTTATTTGCATACATTTCCCGAAGTTCGCAAAACCAATAAGGGAGAGATAGCCTGAATTGTGTAAATCTGAAAAATGTGTGCAAGGAATTGATCCTTCGTTTTCAATTTTTAACTAAAAATTAGTTTTGTATTTTGAGGTTTAAAATGCTATTTGCTCATGCGAAGATCCAAAAAATATCAATTAAATATTTCCAAATTTCTAGGGAAAAAATATTGTTCCGGATGAGCTAATCCCCATTCAACCCTATTACAAGCGATTATCACGCCAGCATTTTAAAAAGTTTAATTGCTTAAACGGGATTGCAATTAAGTTAAATAGAGACAAAGGAAAGAAATAAAATCTATTAGAAATGCTTCGACTTTTGGAAAGATGGTATTATAATAAAAATGCAAACCAATTTCCTCTAAAAATTTCGATTAAAAAATAGATGGTGTATCCGATCTCTTGCTTTTTTTTTATTCCGCACAAAAAAAATTTGTTGGATATATGAAATTTATTGGACATATAAAGTTTTGGATATATGATATTTCGAAACAGAGCTATTTATAGTCGGGGATTCGCTCGCTACTCAAAAGCATATTGTGGCTACCCAACCAACCAGCAGGCGGTATGGAAGCTCCTCATGTTATTCGAAAAGAACAACTTCATTAAAAATCACTGTTTGGCGTGTGTTACGGACTGACGGCATCATTACGCCAAATTCCTTTGGAAAGAGGCCTCAACTTGCCAACGAAGTGAAAGATAATTGTTATCGAGTAACGATATGTCACATATCAAATTATAATACAAACGTATTATCTTTCAAGAAACACTAATCACGTTTATGATGTCTCTCAGAGTGCTACTATTTTAGAAAAAATATATTTATTATATTCGATATATCCGCACAATTTAACTTGAACTTGGTTTTACTTTTTGATCATAGTATTACATTGTTACATTGTGTAAAGTTCTTGACATTAACATTATTACTTTATTATATTTAAACAATTAAATGAATCGTTAAAAAGAATTCTCCAAAAAAAGTGTTAAATTTCGGATGTTTGTACGCTTTATTAGCATTTCAATATTTAAAGAGCAAAATTAGACCGATATTATTCATTTCGATTCGAATGTTTAATTAATGAGTGAAACAAAAGAAAGCATTAATTTCCAATTGTCGTTATTTATTGGGTTAAATAAATGAGCAACATTGGCGTAACTACGTACTTAGTATTGAAAGAAGTGTTGTTCATAATAGTACACACAACATTAATGTTGCTAAGAAAGAATCTTTTAACAGTTCAGAAGTTATTCAATCAAAACTTATAAAAACTTATTTAGTCAAAGCCGATCACGCAATCTAAACATGTCCATCATAAATTTTGTTTTGAAATAGCAATCATACTTCGGATCTAATTAACAACTCAAATGATGGGGGTTCAAATCTCAAGTGCGGTAGAGTTTTCAATAAAGGCGATGGCCTTAGATGCTATTCCCATAAGACTTCAGTCTTTGAATTCATTTTTCTAGCTATTTAGCTAGAAAGTTAGAAATATGCATTAAATGGATATTTAAATTAAACTACTTCTTAATCAAAATGAGACGCTAAGCGGATTTAGTTATGCCTACTTTCTTTTTAGGAACATCTATCGTCGCAAAAATTGAAATTAAAAGCTGTACTTCACAAGCCACATATATTATTGGCTTATGCCTATAAATCAATCTTCAAAATTGATTCTATCCGCAAGCAAACACGTTTTCAATTACTAAGAAACCAAAAAAAAAAACCTTTTAAACAGAGAAATTGAAAACTGTCTTATGATTATTCGCATCAAGGTTTCGTGTATATTTAAAATAAAGCCCAAAAGAACATGGTGCCGCCAACGTGTCGAACGAAT